AAGGGGCCGAAGCTACGCGTAAAGCCGGAGACGCAGCTGGATCCCGGGCTCCAGTCGGAGTCGAAACCTAAGTCAGAGTCTGTGGCGAGCGAGCCCGGAGCCGAGGAGCCGCACACGCCGCGCAGCCCGAGACGGGTAAGAGTCGAAGGGCTAGGGGCACTGGGTCTCCGCGGTGTTGGAGCGCAAGGAAGTGGTGGCCGACTTGCGCGCTCTTTGCCCCGGGAGTGTGTCGGGGTCCAGCCGGTGGCGTGGGACTGAGCGCATCGCGAAGGCCAGGCGCCATCGAGGCAGAGCCAAGAGCTCGTTTCTGCGCTGAGCGCACGGTCACAGCTGCCATCGTCGAGCGCTACCTCACCTAACCCGTGGACCACGCCACACTTTGACCCTGGGCACCCCAAGAAGGCAACAGTTTCAGGGGCGCGGGCCCCAGCCCTGCAAAGGGCACATCCCTGGATGCCCTTCACAGCCCCTCGCTGTAGCGCGGGCAGCTGGGGACCTCTGGGAGAAAGGGCAGGCGAGAGAGCCGCCCGCCGCTGCCTGCTGCTCCCAGGAATGGGGGCCCCAGCACGAGCCGAAGCGCTGGCCCCTCTGAACGCCTGGGGACTTCGGGCTTAGCTTCGCGTCAAGAGGGTATTTTTCCTAAACGAAACCGCTTCATTCGTTCGCTTGTTCGTTCGTTCGGGCAACCTTGCCGCAGAAAAGCAATAGACGTCGGCCGGAGCTACAGCTCTCTTCGCTGCGCACCCCGACGTTCCGCCACAGTGCTTGGAGGTGCCCCTAGCTCAAGGCGGCCTGCCCTAGCCGGCGCAGGTCGGGCTTTTCCTTACCCTGAGAGAAACCCCAAATGCCCTTCGCATAATCCAATGAAGACATCCCCGCGACTTCTCCAGGGTTTGGTTGTTGACACACGGTTCCTGAGAACTCGGCCGCTTCTCTAGAACCGGGTCTCGGAATTCTGAAATTGACCAGCCTTCTAAATCTGAGCCGATTCCGTCGTGATAAAGCAAGGGCCCCAAGACCAGGATCGCAGAAATAGGAACCCCAGGCCGTGATCCTGGTTTCAAGCTTTTCCGATTTTGGAATTCCCTTAATCAAAATATTTTAATCCACTTTTCTGAGAAACTAAGGGTCAGGTATTCTCTTGGCAGCCCAGTGGTCTCTGACAGCCACTAGGGCCAGAGGGACGCAACCCCAGGTTGCTGTCCACTTGGCACAGAATGCAGGTCTAGGGTGATAGCAAAAGCTACAGGCAGCAGGGCAGCCCGGAGGGGGGAACTGCTGGCCCTCTGCCCTTTCCTAAGACTGCTTTGGGACCCCTCATCTCTGCTCAGAAAAGGAAAAGAAGTGGACTCTAGGATGTAGAGGCAGCTTTTGTTGACCTTCAGGCCAGGCTCAGAGTGCCCTTCTGTCAGGAAAGCAGCTGCTGGGAAGAGGAGGCTGTGTAGAGCAAAAGCTGACCCTCTCCTTCCCAGTTGTGTGACCGGCTGTTGCCTCTTTCCTAGCCTTCTCTACCCCTGGCTCAGTCATTCTCAGGAACCAGAGAGCCATCAGTGGGCTCCCTTGAGCCATAAGCGTGGAGAGTGATGGGCCCTACTGGCTGCTGATGGAGGGTTCTGAGTTTCATGCTCCCATCTGCTCCTCACTCAGCCATCCTGCCTGAATACATCCCAGCTCTCCCCACCAGGACAGGCTGGGGAACCCCAACTGAAAGGCTGAGGACCTAAAAGCCTAAGCGATCCAGCGAGATAATTCCCAGACTGTACCTGAACACCCCTTATCCCCATCACGCAGAAATTGCTTTCCCTCAAAGAAACAAGTTTTTTGGGGGGGAAGGACTGTTAGATCTGGCTGAAGGAGGTAGGTGGTCCCGGCTGCACTCCCAAAACTGGGTTTTCTAGTTTGAACTTCTCCACGGCCTAAGAGGCTTAGGGCTGGAATGTCCCCGAGAGTCATGGATGGCCCCCGGGGCAAGCCATGGCACATTCCTTTCCTTTTCCTAAAATCCCTTGATTCTGGTGCAAAGATTAGGGCAGAGCACCCTGTGAGTGGGTGGAAGGATGCACTTCATGAAGACCCTCCAACCGCCCTTCCCAAATAAAATTACCAAACCATTCTTGGGCACAGAGTTGTTTTCTGAAAGCCCAGCCTCAGGAAGGGTCCCTATGGTGACTACTTCAACCTCCACAACAGCCCAGGCTCCTCTGCTGAGCCCAGCCGGAACTCTAAGCCCCAAATTTCCTGAAAGTCATAGAATCATTGCTAGCTCTGTGTGGCCTGGAGCAATGGGGAATAGGGCACATGGTTCCAGCTCCAGTAAACCCCCTTCCCTCCTCTCCTCATCAAGTGAGGTGGAGACTGAAGGGATCACTGTGTCCCATGTGCAGGACAAGCCTTGTCCAAGGTCACTCAGCAAAGCTGAGGTAACACTGAATACTTGCTCTTTCTCCTGAAAGAGAGCTGCCTCCTGTGGCGGGTGCGCGTGCATGTGTCTGTCTGTGTGTGTGTGTCTGTGATGTATCTCTGGGTGTGCAAGAAGCCCCCACCCTGCTTGGGATAGCAGCCAGTGGAGGGAGTGTCTGGGGAAGAAGAGAGAACACCCAGGTACCTTTTCCATCCAACACCCAGGATCAGACCAGGGCTTCTTCTAGATCAATTGCTTCCTCACCTTTGCTCATTCAGTGCTGCCCAGGTCCAGCAGAACAGAGTCCCCTGGGCAGTCCCCACTAGTCTCAGCCCTGCTCTAGGGCTAGGGCCCCTGGGATATGGAGCTTCACCTGCAATAGTCTGAGAGCACTTCCATCCACACAGCAGGCATCAAGAATTCCAAATACAGGGATTATTGCGACTTCCTGGAGCACTGCCAGAGGCTTGGGTCCAGAGGGGCACACAGCAGGTGCTCAATAACTGCATTAAATGCATCAACAGTGAGGGAAGCAAGCCCCTCTGATTGAATAGCTAGAGCTGCAGAGTCACAAAACAGTCCTTACCCATGGAAGGCCTGACTCTTTAGATCCTCTGGGGAGTGGGGGGCTCAGAGGCAGACCATTCATTCCATGCCCCACCCACAGGGGACTGTGCTTCCCACCTTGACCTGACACTTGATGGCCTTAGAGCATACCTCCTACTCCCTATCAGCCAGATTTTGTGCCAAAGAGCATCAGTCTTTTGGGATTCAGAGGCCTGGCTGTGTATACACATATGTGACTCTGGACTCCCATGTGTGGGCACAGTGAGTATGTGTGTGTCTGTGTATGCATGGCACACCTGTGTGGGTATACAGTACATATGTGTGCGTGCATGCTCCTGTGACTTGTCTGTATCCAGGCAGGCTGGGTGGCACACTGTCCTGTCAGGTTAAGGCAGCTCCCGGAAGGTGGTGTGTGAAGGGGCACTCCCTGGCATGCTGCAGCACCTGAATACCTCCTTGAAAGGAGGTATCTGCTGCTTCAGGAGATTCAGCCAAGAAATGTGGTAAAAGAAAGGGCTACTGTGGGCAAATGCTGGGTAACTATACTTCCCTGTGCCCTCCTCCCCCACCCCTCACACACCAAAATTGTTTCACCTTGGGGGTCTCAACTTAAAGAAACGTCCCTTTGGGAGGAAAAGGCAGGAGTCACTGAGCCCCTGCCCCCACCCCAAACTCCTGGGATGCATCCTCCTTCTGGCCTTAACCTCACACCCTGCCCCTTGTGGTCACAGGCACCCAGTCAGAGTGGGCTGGCCCTAAGAAGCTGGGCCTTCTCCCCAGGGCCCAGAGCCGAGATCCTTGGGCTGAAGCCGAGGGAGGGATCAAGAGGCAGGTCTGGTTCCACCATGCCCCTGCCTCCCCTGCCCCACAATCCTGGCCTAGGAGCTCAGCCTGGGGCAGGGATGCCTCCCCCTGCCAGGGAGCCGGGATGAGGGCAGTGTCTGCAGAGCATCCCAGGCACTGACAGTCTGTACGTCAGTCCCAAGTAGACACCCCCAAGAGGACATGACGGTGAACTGGGCCTAGAGAGTATCGCAGTGCTTCCTCCCCAGGCTGCTGTCCTGCCCAGGGCTCCTTCTGTCTGGTCAGCAGGTGAGGGGCAGAGGGCAGTCTGGGGTCCAGCTGTGGCTAGAGGAACAGGTCAGGGTCTCACCCTACCACCCCAGCTGTCACCTATTTGCTCAAGACTTTGATGTCTTGGAACCAGTTAACAATTGTTAAGCAAAATCCTTCAACAAACTTCACTGAAGTTGGAGGACTCAAGGAGAGACTCATTCTAAGAGCTGGGAAGAAGAATGTCTTTGCCTGTGCTCACAACAGACCCACTGGTGCTGCAGCTTAACTACCACTGCATGGAAGAGAAGCTCAAAGACTATCCTTGGCTTCCTGGGCTGCTGGCCTAGGTTTGGAAACTGCAGTCACCTGGCCTGCCAGGCCTGTGCGTGCAGCTCTGGGAAGCCAAAGCAAGGCCCCAGGCCGCTGCAAACCTGCCTTGTCGGGGGCAAAGGCCCACCCCATGGCAGCCAAGGCCGGTGCCTGGCAGATTTGGCCAGACCGTTGAAGGTGACAAACAAGGGAAGAGAGACCTACAGAAGAGGCTGTGGGGCCTGGCAGGGCTCTTGGGGTCTCCTGCTGCACTCGCCAGCGGCCTGGAGCCAACAGAAACGTTTCGTCTGATTAGAAGCCATCAGTTCTATCCCAATCCCGGAAAATTGACTGCGGTGCAGAGGGGGAGGCCTGAGAAGCAGCCTTGGGGGAAAGGGTCCAAGCTAATTAGGAGGCAGCATCCGGGGGCCCATTAGAGCGCAGGCTGCTGTCACTCAGCCTGGCTCAGGTCCCGGGAGAAGAGGCCGGGGAAGGAGGGGCCGGAGGCCCCTCAACGAGGACGCCGCTGGGAGCTGCCGGAACGAGCCCCGGGCTCTGCCCCCGCCCTGGCGCTGGCTCACAGGCGCCCGGTCGGTGCGATCCTGCTCGGTGAACATTCACTCATCCTGGGCTGTTCTCGCAGGGGACTCGGGACTTCGAGGCGGCCCAGACAGGAGTTGATTCTGAGCGAAACAAATCATTTGGGGCTGGAGGTGGGCACGAACCGCGCGGGACTTGCAGGCCAGATGCGTTTCTTTTGTGCGGCCGAGGGAGAACTCGGTGTGTCACCGGGGAAGGAGGGAGAGGCGCGGCGAGGCCGCGGGAGGAGGGGGGTTAGGCGGCGGGAAGGTGGTTGCGGAGGGGGAGGGCGCAGGCGAGGCAGGGAGGGAGGGAGGGCGGCGGAGAGGGCGCGGCGGCGCGGGCGGCTCGGGGCTGGATTCCGTCCGCGCTCCCTCTCTTTCTCGCTCGCTCCCTCCCTCCTAGCCCCCTCCCACCCGGGCCCACCCCACCCACCACCCCTCGCCGCCACGGGACCTCGCTGGAACCTGGCGGTGCGCGCTGTCGCTTTAAGACACA